CCCCCCCCCTTTTCGGGGCCGGGCGGTGATGGCCGCCAGCCACGGCTGGTGGAAGCTGACCTTCCTGCGGAAGCGCCGGTCGGCGCCCACGGTGCTGTACGAGAGCCCCGACAGCCACGCTGCCGCCACCGGCGAGAGCCAGGAGGGGACGGGTGAGGAGGGGCCACCCGGCTTCACCGCTCGCCTGGAGAAGATCGTGGACAAGAACAGCAAGGGCAAACACGTCAAGGTCTCCAACTCGGGACGCTTCAAGGAGAAGAAGAAAGTGCGGGCGACACTGGCCGAGAACCCCAACCTCTGCACCGCTGGTGAGCGGGAGGAGAAATGACCCGGCCGGTTGTCACCCTCCAGCCACCACCACCGGCTGCCCAGGCTGGCTCGGCTCCGTCCCTCCCGGGGACAATGGACCATGGCGCTTCAGGAGGAAGGACTCGGACTGGACTTTATTTAAGGGAGAGGCAAGGACCCTGTTTAATCGCAGCCCGCCGAGCTCGCGGCACCCCAGGGGCAGAGGGAGAACCGGGCGGCGGAGCCAGGCACAGCCCATCTCTCCCAGGCCCCCGTGGGCAGGGGTAGCCCCCGAGGCTGACTGGTTCATACTGGGATGAGGACACTCGCCCCAGTTCGGTTGCTTGCTGCGGACCACCAGAGCCCATCGTTCACCCAGCTCTGCCTCGAGCACGATCCTGATCCCCTCCTGCCCATCGCTCCTATGGGGGTGAGTCCCCGCTCGTCTCCCAAGCCCAAGGGACTGCGTGGCCACGGGCAGAGCCACCGACACCGCGTCCTTGCCAGCAGTCACCCCCAAACCAGGGAACGTGATGCTTCCCTGCCCCGAGAGAACAACCCCACGGGCAAAGTCCCCCCCTGAGCTGCCTCCATGGGCACCATGGAGGGCTCCAGGCTTCCCAGGAGGAGCTGTATTCCCTCTTGCATCCAGGAATCGCTCCTTGCTCCCGGAAGGGGAGAGCCGATCATGGAGTGCGGTGCCAGAGCCAACGCCGGGGGCAGCCACCATGGGTGATCTCGCAGCCCTGGTGTTTGTTCGGGTTGTTGGAAGCTGAGCCTTTACTCAGCTCTCGTGACTGCTGATAATTAACTGCTGTTAATAAACCAGGTCTGGAAGCAAAGGCAGCTGAGGGGCGTGGGCAGGGGGAGAGCTCGCCAGACCCCCCAGCCCTGGCCCGGCAGGGTGGAAGGGCTGCGGGTCCCTTCTGGGACCCCGGTGGGGAGCGGTGCCAGCTGCCACCAACGCAGGGAATCCCCAACCCAGCGGAGAGGGGGGACACGCGGGGGTGGCCGTCACCGGCGCTGCCAGCCCGGGGTGCCCTCTCTGCGGAGCAGGGTGCGGCCGTGCCTGAAGTCAACAGGAGCAACTGCTTCCCCGCTATGACAAAAGCCGGATGGTGCCAAGCGCCAGAGTCCAACCCCACCTTGGCCAGCACAAACCCTGCAGCAGGGCAGCCCGGGCCCCCGGCAGCCCCCGCCCTCCGCTGTTTGCTCTGCCAGCGCCCGTCAGCTCACAGGCTGCTCTTTGTCCCGGGGTTGGCAGCGCCGGAGGGATCCTGCCCGAGAAGGAAGGGAGGGAGCGGCGAGGAAGAGAGCTGTCAGCCTGCAGCCAGTGCCGATCGGCTCATTTACGCCCATCATGGTGGTATCTGAGCTCCTGCCACGCACCTAATGCCGGGATGGGTGGGAGACCTGGCTGTGCCGCCAGCCCCAGCAAAGCCCCCAGCCCCTTCCTGGGACATCAAGTGCTGTCCCCTCGAGGTGACACCGTCCCCTCCTGTCCCACCAAGGCGGCTCTCCCTGAGGGATGAGTGCAGCCGGGAGGGACCAAGGCCACCGAGCGAGCCTGTGACAGCAGCACAGGGTGTGTGACACCTGCCGTGGCCGCCTGTCCCGGCTCCCCCCATCCCAGGGCTGACCTCCCCACCGTCACCTCCCGCTGCCACCCACCACAGGGCTTTGCCCAGCACGGCACAGCCGGGAACCCGCCGGGGGACCCCCAGCTGTGGCGAAGCCCCAGGGCACGATCCTGCCCCAGGAGCCAGCAACTGGGAGAGCAAACACGGAGCCAGGGAGGGCAAAGGTTATCGGGGCCTGGTTTCACTGGGACATGGCCCAGAGGAGCGAGGGTTGCCAGCACCCTCTGCCGGGTCCATGGGCTGGGATCCCCGGCTGCACCGAGCTCCATCTGCCGGAGAGCACAGCCCAGCCCCATGCGGGTAAATATTAACCCAAACCAACTGCACGGCTCCGCACTGATCGGGATTTATTTTTTCCAAGCTCGGACAGGCAGCTGGGGGGGGACGGGGAGCGGCACCAGCACAGTTCCCCCCAAACGAGCAGGCTGAGGGTTGGGGTCCCACGGCCCCGGGGAGATGGGGCGCGCTGGTGACGACACACGCAGCCAGCTACGAACACCGGTGACACGGTGGTGACATTAAAGCTGCAATTAGGTAAGTTATTGCACAGACTGGTGACATTAAACCCACAATTCAATAAATTATTGCACAGACAGAGCACATTGCACGGCTCTAGCTAAAACACAAGGCACAAGTACCATGGTACGAGTGACATGGGCAGGGGGTTCGCTGGGGTCTTTCTTGGTCCCTCCACAATAATTAGTATGATTAATTAACCACCAGCGGCAGCGGTCGCTCCCCACGTGCTGGCGGGGGGAAGCAGATGGTCTCTGGGACCCACCTGCGGCTCTCGCCCGCCCCAGGGAGAGACGAAGGGAGACAGGGGTCTCTGGGGCTGGGCCAGAGCCCCCCGCCAGCACCCCCGGAGCTCAGCACGTGTCTCCCGGGGGAGGGCAGAGCGAGGCCAGCCCCGTTCCCCGGGGCACGACAGGGGACAGGCGGGCAGGTTTGGCACAGGTGATGCTCGCAATCAGGCGAACGTGGCCGGAGACGCTGGCGGCCTCACGGGGAGAAGCGCTCGAAGACCCATTCCCCCTCTCCCTGGTGCGTCATGTCTCCCAGGGGGGCCGAGCCATCCCGCAGGCGTCGGAAGACGATGCGGTCGTGCAGGCGGTTGGTTTGGCCCTGCCAGAACTCCACGACATCTGGCTGCAGGATGTAGCCCCCCCTGGCAGAGCAACACGGAGCTTTAGGGGGGCCCCACCGGCGGACAGCACCCTGCCCGCAGCCCCCGCGACTCACCAGTATGCCGGCTTCGGCACCGTCGTCTCCCTGTACCGCTCCTCCAGCTCTGCGTTCTTCTTCCTTAAATACTGCAGGGAAGGGGAAGGCGGTGAACGTGAGAGCAGCTGGGGCAGCCCTGGTTATCCCGGCCCCTCCAGGCGCTGCCGTGGGGAAAGGGACGACTGCTCACCTCCCGGTCCGGAATGACAGTGCTCTGACGGCTGACAACAGCCCCGATCTGGCTGCTCTTGGGGCGGGAGTGGAAGTACCGCTCCGATTCCTCCTCTGGCAGCCGCTTGACCGAGCCCTCGATCCGTACCTGTGCCAGCAACCGTCAGCTGGGCTCTGGCCAACGGTGCCAAGGGGGCTGCGTCGGCTCCTGGGCGAGGAACTGCCCCATCCCCCGGCTCTCCCCCCAGAAAATGCAGGCACGCCCCATCCCATCTCATCCCCAGTGGCTGGGACCCACCCCAGCGTGATCCCCACCGAAACGTGTGAGCCCCGACATCCCACCGCAAGGGAGGGAGCACCCACTGCCTGACTCTGTGCTAAGGGCCTGACCGTGCTCCTTCTGCTCCCCCCAGCCTCCCCAGCGTCCCCGCGGGCCACAACTCACCTGCCGGTTGAGGGGCTCCCAGTAAAAGACGAGCGAAGCGAAGGGGTTGGCGTCCTGGGGCGCAGAGCGGGGAGAGACGAAAGAGCTGTCAGCAGACCAGCACCAACCCAGCTTTAAAAATTAGAGAAACCCTGCGCTTTGCCGCAGCAGGACCTGCCTGTGCGCCGTGCCAGGCAGAGCCTCGACCCCAGCCGGGGCTGCTCCGCTTCTCCGAGAGCCTCAGCCCCGGCGCAAAGGGGCCGGATGTGGTTGGTGAAGAAGCGGAAGCCATCCTGCCCGAAGCCCTTCAGCAGCACCATGCGGGCCGAGGGCTTCCCATCCCTGCAGCGGGAGAGGGGAGGCGATGCCAGGCCCCCCCCCGGGGTGGCCAGGGGACCCCCGCCGTCCCCCCCATGGCCCCCGCTGGCCTCACCTGGTGCAGGTGGCCAAGCACATGGCGTTCGCCTCCCCGATGGCCGGGCACCCCACGGCCTCCTCGAACCAGACCCTGAACTGCTGGATGGGGTCGCGGGAAGCCAGGTGCTGCTCCTCGAAGGCCTGGGGACACAGGGGACACTGTAAGGGGGGGGCACCCTGGTCTTCGGGGACACGGCCAGCACTGGGGGGGATGACACCAGATTCAAGGGCACAGCCAGCACGGGGGATGGGGTAACCCCAGGCCTGGGGGTGCGGCAAGGGGGGGCACACCAGAGTCAAGGGCACGGCCAACGTGAAAGGAGGGGTCACCCCAGGCCTGGAGGACAGAGTCACCATGAAAGGGGGGGTCACCCCAGACCTTGGGGGCAGCTTGGGGGGGGTCACCCCAATTCCAGGGGCACAACCAGCATGAGGGGGGGCCACCCTGGTTCCAAGGTCACTGCCAGCCCGGGGGGGGTCGCCCCAGGC